GCGGCGAGGTTCGTCGCGTGAGGACGCCCGCCCTCGCCGCCCTGCGCCCTGCGCCCTGCGCTCGCCGCCGCCACCGCCGCTGAGGACGCCGCTGGCCGAGAAAGAGGCCTTGTGGCACGCCTCGCTCATGTACCTGTTGCTGGTTCTCGAGGGCGCGCTTCTGTTCATTATTTTGATGATTATTTATAAAAGTGCGCATCAATGTGTAATGAACCACGATTGGTTTATTACTCTTAGGTAAATATTTCAATATTAACACATTTCAAAATTAACGAACATTAATCTTGCTATAACGAAAGACAGCAATGTACACGTAGTTCCGAGACATTTCATATTTATTTATTTACTTTGAAATTCATGATATTGTACCTGCGAAGAGCTGTTTTTCTTAACCCTTATAAGTGACTTAAACTAGTTTAAAATAAGCTTTATTTTAAGATTACTAACACGATTAGATTAGTAAACATCAAATGTCAAGAGATATTTATTTTTTAGGTCCAACTATCTTCCTAGGAAATATCTAGTGAGGTAAGCATATAGAATGTGTGTGTCGGAAACGAGAGCCCACGAGATTAAATGTAAAATAATGAAGGTTTCAATAAAGATATTGTATTTCCTTCCAAGTGTTTTCATGATAACATTTTGTATCTTAGCGATAAGTATACAGAAAATAATTGTAGAACTAAATGAATCTTCAATTTCAATCAATGAATCTTCACCCTAGAGAGTAAGATCCTTTCCTAATTTCTAACAATTTTATTTTTCATTGTTCTAATAAAAACAAATTTTTCACAATATTTTTATATAAATTTGCTTTCGTAATATGACGCTCATAACTATAGTCTTTAGTTTCTAAACGTATATCCCAGCAATAACTACATCTGGTTAATATTACATTTTGGATTTCACCTTCTACATCACGGCCAATACGAATGCCTGATAAGGAGCAAACAGAACGTTTCCACGAGTGGTGAAAGGTATAGTAAGAATTGCGACGTTTACGGCAAGAAGGCAGTACAAAAATCTACGAACTACGGTGTAAGTTCTCGCCAGTCGGCACATAAAACGGTCCACACGAATCAGTATTATAAACTCTTCCAGATTCAAGTAATTCTTATTCTTGTACTTCCTCTTTATTTCCGATTGAGCGAATACTGCAGTGTTTGTTCATCACATTTACTCCACCCTTTCGTTAGATATTTTATTTTTCAAGCGGCAGAGAAATAGTCAGAAGAATGGAAACAGATCGAAGATAAGATGGCTCCAAAATTGTGAATACATGCAGTTCGGTAGGTAGAACATAATCGAAGTTTGTCTCATTGAAGCAAATATGAATGTAAGAGAAAAATCATAATAAAAATATTTTTAAAATTGAATATGAATTTAATTTCTTATGGAAATGTTTTTAGACGTTTAAAGACAAGAACAAGGAAAAACCTAAAGATAGTATGAAATTAACATATGTTACGTAAAATTGTCATGCAGAGATCCATAAATATTTCCCTCCAAAAGTGATTCCAGAAACATCTGGTGGTTAACAGCTTTGTGAAGAGAATTTTCCACACCATGACAGGATAACGAATAAATTTAACATAACAAACATTTAATTTTCATTTCATCAATAAATATTTCCATACATCTGCACTTTTTTTTCAAAACCACTTTGTTGTAGAAGCTGCTAAACATGTTTTCCCGGAAAGGTCATAGTGTCGCTGTAGATCATTTCGCGTCTCCGCAACATCTTCCCGCTGGCTCTAATCGGGATGATCAAGCATACCAACACACTTAACGACCCGAGCGGCCCTGGCATTGGTAACGACGCATCTTGCCCCAACATGGCAGCGCACAGGAAGGAATCTCGTGCAACAGAATTGACCCTGTATTTTTTCTCGGTAGCGGTTCATCGCAGTTATTAAAAGAGGACAGTCGGGTATGACACGATGTCACACTTACCTGAAACATAGATCTCTAGTTTCTATGCTTTTTTTAAAGAAATAACTTAGATACACGAGTTCGTATATTAGCTGAAATAGTTTATATATAAATAAAATAATGTAATTTCTAAGTAGTTACAACATTTAAATTTGAATAATGAATAGTAATCCTGCATGTTTGATTTGTAAAATTGTAGGTTCCGGAACGCGCCCTAAATTAATTAATACTTTAATATAAATACTTGTATATTTATAATATAATTTAATAATTATACGCGAGGTACCGCAACGCCATTCCGTAGCGTTCCGTCTAAATCAAGCACTGGTAATACTAATCACATGTGTAATACACAGTAAACGCGAAAATTCGTAAGACCTAACTCGGTAATGTGAAGTTCGCCACACTCTTACACCTACTACATCTTCATGCTGAAATACGCATTCTAACGTAACCTATAAAAATAACAAATAAAAAAAAGCATTTCTCCAAATCAAAAATTTAAGTAACAGCAGATTTTGTTGGCGTCAATCTTACACAAATGTTTCAATCTTCCATCCGAAACAAGTTTCCGCATGCACTTCATGCTCACATCGCACGTGCGGCACAAAAACATGCGAGACGTTGTAACCTTCGAAGGTCACGGCCGCTTAGCTCCACCTGCCTGGGAGAGGAAGAGCTGTGTTTACCTCCCACGTCGCCGTCCCCGCTAATTCCACCACCGCCGTCCGCACTACCGTCGCCGTAGCCGACACAGGTAACGTTTCCATCATCGTCGCTACTGATATCAAGCATATTGTTAGCGACTTCAAAATATTCTAGAACTAGAATATGATTATCCCCCTTTCTTTATACTGTTATTTATTCGCTATTAGATCTACCTCTAAAGGCAACAGGAAGATCAAGTCCGCCGTCACTTTTCAAATGCCACCCAACGCCTGCTCAGGTAAATCAGACTCGCCTCATCTTCACTTTCTGTTTTTTGTAGGCTTTAGAAGCGAATAATTAAGGCACACGCATGCTAAGGGCGTCAAAGGCCTTCCGATGGAAAGGGGCTCCAATATTTTTTTGAAAAAAATATATATTGTTATAAGAAATATCTAAGAAAATTTTAATATTACATATTTAAATTTAAACATATTTTATTTTGATATTCATTTTCATTACGTACGTTTAATACTCAATATTGCAACTGCATAGCAATATATACCCTACATAGTACTCTTGTGCTTCATTTCAGTACCTGCACAATCGCGATAGCCAATTGCACATTACCACGATTCTCACTGCCAGCGCCCCCACCCCTTACCTATGCAGCGAAGTCGACGCTACGTCCAGTCGCCAATTCTCTTGATGGCGATGTCAAATTCGCACTGTCTGGAGGAGAATTCTATGAACTGGAAAATCTGTTCTGCATTTTTTCGTGGTTTCTCTTATCAACACCACGCGAATGCTAGGGAAGCGCCCGGTTCCTTCGGCGTTCCCTCCAGTTCTACTTCTGTTACAGCCTTCAATGCTTCCTTTGTCGTTTTCTCCAACGCTACCTTCGTTACTGCCTCTAAAACTATCTCGTCCCGACGCCTACCTCGATAGCTTCGTGTCCAATACTATCTCTGTCTCCGTCTCCAACGCTATTTTCATCTATACCTCTATTGCTATCTCGAAAGCTACCCCTTAACAGCCCACCTCCCTTAGCACCTCCAAAGCTATCTTCATCGATGCCTCTATGACTACCTCCGCCATCTCCTCATACGCTACAACTCTCGCTCCCTCCAAAAGTACCACCATCACCACTTCCAACGCTGTCACCGATATTTCTATTGCTACCTCCGCTATCTCCTCCAACGCTACTTATATAGCCCCCTCCAACAGCACCTCCTTCACCACCTCCAACGCTTCCCCCGTCGCTACCTCCGATGCCACCTGGGCCACTTCCATCACGGCACCGCGCAATTCGTCTTCGCCTCCGCCCCCACCGCCACCGCCACCGCCTCTGCCGACCGCCTCAGCTACCGCATCCACCTCCACCTCCACCTCCACCTCCGCCACCGGCCGCATTATATAACGCGGGAGCACGTCGGGGCTCCGCCGGCAGTTCCTTGCAGGTCGTCGCCATGACCGCAGCCTCCGCGCTTCCTCGCCTGCTCGCCGCGACCGTGGCCGCGCTGGCGTGCGTCAGGGCCACCGGCGCCGCCCCGGCCGACGCCCCCGCCGGCGCCAACGACACCGCCACCTGCACCACGGACCGACGCATGTCCGCCTTCCCCATCCGCCTCATCAAGTGCAACATCGCCGACCTCACGTGCTTCCGCGAGGGCAGGTACGCGCAGTGATGGCAAAGTTTAGTAATACATCGATAGATTACCAAAAGGTTTTCGATGTCTGTTGAAACATCGATATTTTATATATAAAACATGTCGAGGTAAATGCCCTGGTTCTAATGGGATACATAACACGTCAATATTAATTTAAAATTCATTCTTCCTGAAATTTGACTGTTATTTAATTTTATAAACAATAATCAATGTTCAAATTGCAATTTAACAAATTTACCACGTACAAAATCAAAAAAGGTAACAACACTGCAGAAAGGTTGCCAATAGCAAACGCTTCCGTGCCACATTTGAATTGATAATAGTGACAGTTGTCGATGGTTCTTGATTCCAAACAACCCACAAATAAAATATACATTGGAAAATTTATATTATTATTATTTTATTATTATTATTATTATTATTATTATTATTATTATTATTATTATTATTATTATTATTATTATAAACAGTAGTAGCTTATGAGTTATAGCAACTTGCCGAATTACACTGCACAAAGCAGATTATAAATCTCGAAGACTTCGGACTCCCGAATTTCATTGTTTTCAACCATTGATGTTTCTCCACAAATATATCGATCTGAAGAAACATTGAACCCAAAAACATTGATGTAATAATATGAATGTTTCCGCCACATCGATCTGAAGAAAACATCAAAACCAAAAACATCGACGCTATAATATGAATGTTGTTTTTTTTTTTGCCGTCCCTAGGTACGTGTACGGCGGCGGCGCGGACGGCGTCGCGTCCGGGGACGAGCCGCGCTGCACGGGCCTGTGGACGCAGGGCCCCTGCGACAAGTTCGAGTGGCTGGTGGTGGACAAGGCGCGCTTCTACGCCACGGGCTACATCCGCACCACGTGCGCGCCGGCCGCGCTCTGCCCCAAGGGCTACGTGCTGATGGGCTTCGACGGCAACTGCTACTCGGCCAAGGAGGCGTCCGCCAACTGCCCCAAGGTGCGCGGCTTCCGCCTCACGCACAACGTGTTCGGCGAGGGCCAGTGCGTGTGCGGCAAGCGGCCGCCGCTGCCGGCCAGGTACTGCGACACGGTGGCGGTGGGCGGGGCGCGCGCCGCGCCGCCCGCCAGGAGGCCGCCCGTGCCGCGGCCCTAACCCGCGCCGGTCAGCGACCTCGCCTCGCCTCGCCGCGCCGCGCCGCGCAGGCTTCGCTCGACTCGATGGAAATTAGCATACCGTCCGTGCACAGGGAAAGTGACGCAGCTTCTAAAAGTGACGTTTTGGAACAGAACTGTTTACTTCACAGTTGCGTATTTGATATCTTCGTCTCATGTGCATAACTCAATTAATTACTCAAGTTTAACTAGATTTTAACTCTTTATGCCGTCTACTGATTAGTTGAACTAATCTTCTAGACTGAATAAATTGTCTCATGTGCATAACTCAATTAATTACTCAAGTTTAACTAGATTTTTACAGAAAAGTAACTTTTTATGCCGTCTAATGATTAGTTGAACTAATCATCTAGGGTGAGTAAATTGACCCAACAACGTAATTTATGACAATTCTTTATCGGAAATCATTGTTTTGGTGTGAATAATCAGACAACATACTGTGGTTTATGGTTTGATGAAATTTATTGTATGTTCGTAACACACATACAATAATTATTCAATACCCAACTACAAGAAATTTAACTTATTTGTTTATGAACGAACTAGCGAATTATTAGTACACTGATCTCACTTTTAGCATAAAGTTCACTTATTAACTCATACATCGAGATCCAAGATACAACGGTTGCCTTTAAATTATCTTTGTCATTTTTTATTAGTATAAATATACTATTTTCCAAATATATTTCTTCACACCACTTTACTCAAAAGTGCTATCAGAGGTGTGTCACGTTTTCTGTGTATAGACGATGATACGAAAACTTTGTTTTCTAGTGTAATCCTGTGTTTCTGTTCCTGTTGTATTAAATTTGTGGTGAAGGGGTGTTTTGAATGCTAGTGCAGCAAGCAATTTCTTTCAATGCTGAATAATTGACTGAAGAGGACATAAATTGACATTTTGGTACAGTTTCATAGTTTGGTTAATTGAAGATTAGAAAAGCTCCAAAAGCAATATTTAAATAAACTTTTGCATGGTGAAATCAACGTAATGCTTGAATAGCCATATTACATGAAACGTTATATAACACCACCAAAAGTATTTATGTAAGCTATGAAATATAAACTTTTCAATACTTTCCACATTATCTGAACAAATTATTATTGCATTTAAAGATAAATAAGTGAAAAATGCTTACAACCAAATCTTAAGTCAGATTAAACTGTCGTATTAAAGACAAATTTCATCCCTGGAGTCGAACCATTTTCAGTGAGTCAATATTATTAATTTAAATGTCAAAATCGTTTTCCCTTTCAAGTTTGTTTACATACCACAAGTATAAAGTCAGGCCTCATCTGATAACATTGACTCTATTATTGTTTACGTGAATATATTTAATGGAATGTATTTTCTTCTAGCAAACAAGTATTTCTACAATGTTACTTTGAACATGAATTGCAAGTTTCAGATATGTTTTACCACAGAAATTAGTATGAAGTGCGCATTTGTAATCTTGTACCTAGTACAAATTAATGTTCTGTCGATTTTTATGTGATGTATGAAGAATTTTGAATACACGTTTTATACAAACTCTTAATTATTTTGTGACAACCGTATGTCACATGTTCCTACCTTAACTTTCTTTCCCTATTATGAAATACTGTATCGTTTAAAACATTCTCTGCGAAAGGGTTAGAGTATAGGGAGAAAATTAATAAATATACTCTAAAGAAAGTGATAATCTGGTACATTTCAAGTGATACGTCATTCAACATATAATTTTGAAATGAATATACACTAATTAACAAATAACATTTTACATGGTATCATTCAAAGTGATGGAAAGTGTAATAAAATAGCTCCGGACATCCGAGGACAATATATCATTCTGTATCAAAATTGCTTCTCCAAGAAGAAATGCTTATTTTATGAAGCAACCTTTTAAAACGAAGAAAAATTCGGTGTCAATGATCAACAACTTGATCTAAATATAGTGTCAAAATAAAGAAAAGTGGAAAAATTTTACGTGCAACTCTTTCTTGAATACTTCACTTTTTGCACACCTGCGTTTCCGTTCTTATCGAAGATACAGTACTATCCATAAGCCCTGTCTACGCTCTTTACGTACAATCAAACCATCATTCAAGCTAAGTAAACCTCACGACCCCCATACGTGCTATTCATACCAGTAATCAGATCATCATGCAATCTCGCCCCCCCCCTCCCCACCTCTTTCACTCCCAGACAACGAATTCCGTTCTCATTGGACCGAAAGCACGCGACTAGGCACTTCCAACTCGGATGCTCCGAGTCAGGGAACCGTCGAATGGATTCCCACCTTTATCCTGAGCAGTAAACCCAGACCTCCAGTTCTGGGTCACGCTTCGCACGTAAGACCCTTCAGCCTCCCGTGCGCTCACCTTGTTCCTCTGCTCTTTCTCCCACCATCTCGCTGGCACCCGCGCCGCTCATTTCGGAGACCCGAATCTCGCTACCGCGCGTATCTCACGAGACCACCCTTACATTCGGGCGTGCGCCGTGAAAACGGGGCACATGGCTTCTTTCTCTACTGGAATCCGCGAGTCGAGAAGAGAAGTGGTGTGACCAGAGTTTTTGCACATACCTGTGGGAAAAGTGTCGCCACGCACGATGCAAGTAAACTATAAAGATACAGTTTCAGCGAATGTATAAGGTAAATCTTGTAGTAGGTAAACTCATTTTTTCTACGATTGTATTAAAATAACAGATACAACGATATATATTAAAATGAGATATATAAGGGTGGGTGGAGTTAGTATTTTCTTAAGTTACCTAAAAACGCGAGGTCACCTTAAAAAACTATTTTTCATAAAAGGCTATTCCCCACTTAAAGGCCGAACAAAGACAGTGCTTTGTCTCGATAACAACAAAGAAAATAGATCAAATAACAATTTGTAATAGAAGCATTTTTATATATGGTACAAAAACACTTGTTCGACCTAACGGTCTCGGCAAAAAAGTCATCAATCTTGATCGAGCATAAAAGAATTATTTCACACATTTAATACAAAATTAATAATTATGGTGTGGGGTAAAGAACTAGTTGCAAGATTCCTTTAGTTACATTCCTATAAGCGCTCTGATAGTGTTTTCGGCATCTTCAAAAATCAGTAGCACCAAAAGTAAGATTATGGGTCGCCATGTCTCTAGCAGGCATCGCTGAACCTTTAACCTGAGTACTTACAATTTAATTTCTCCTATATTAATTACTATTTATTTTCTTCTCTTCTGTGTTGTCAAAACAATACAAATTATCAATTCCCACGTATAGTTTAGCCAGAAAATAAGCATTCAAATGTCGTTACGTTCCTGTAGGACAATGTGTGAACTAACTTACTTCACTGCAAGAAAAAAAGCTTCACTTCGAAAAAGCACATCACTGAAACGAATCTTACTTTATCAGTTGAAGTTGGCGGTGGTGAAGTCAATAACTGAGAGTCTCATTTAGGAAACCAAAATTCTTCATTAGCATGAAATCACTGCAGCAAAAATAACTGATACGGTATGCATTCTAGAAAAAAAATAGAAGTTACACTTACAAAAAACGTAGCGCAGTGTCAAATACTTCTTTCTGAAAAAAATTAGCAATCAGTTTTGTTATTGAAGATTCTTTATCTACGTTTTAGCATTTGTATTAGTCTCAAAAACTTTCACTAAATACTGTATGCATTTAAGTTTCTCGGCCAAGTGGTTACCATTAAATAAAAACAAGGTAATAAGTAGAGCCCAAGTCTGGCAAAATGCCTTTTAATTATCGTTACGATTTTTATGAAGTTTAATAATAGAAATCATTTAATTGTACTTCTGGAGTTGTTTTAGTAAATTATTTATTTGGTCTTTTTTTCTACTTTAGCTTCTGATGCATATTTTTGGAATTTTGTCTTATTTCTACCTTTTTCGTCATGATGTTCCCTTTTTTCCCTCCTGGCACCATTTTCTATCAAACTGGAAACAAACTTGCAAGTCTCAACAACAGGAAGGTACGGTCGTTTATTGCCTTTCTGTGGACGCGAAAGATCGGGGGTCAGGTTCTGTTAAAAATCTAAAAGGGAAAGAAAGATGATTCCAGTTAATATTTTTTATATTTTTCGGTAACTTTTACAAACTTGTTTGCTGAAAGAAATCTCATCCTATGTTCTTGTATGGCCTCTGATCCCTTTTGAAAATAAAGCTGTGTGCATGATATACACTTCTCAGTTCCTCTTTGTCCTCTCTTCTCTTCCGTCGATTACACAAGTGAAAAGAACGAACTCTACAATTCCATTTCCATTGATAAAATTTCAAGTTTCAAAAGGGGGTCGAAGAACGCTCACAAATAAATAGATCATATGAATAGTTGAAACCTTTAAGAGAAAAGTCTCTACTTTAAAGCAGTATGCAAAATATGCTCCTGTAATTTCACAAATATGCACCACCAGGTAAAATTGGTCAAATATGTACCAATATTCACTAACACATTAAACTATATAGCATCCAATTCCAACAAAATGACAAGAAAATTCACTAAGCTATGCCCTGAAGCAACAGAGAAGAAATATGAAAAATCATAGAAATACGCTCTCTAGACATGTGCAATCAAGATTACAAAGAAAAAGTAGTTTCATTCCTCGTGAGTGCTGATGTAAATTTTAGTGTTAGTATAAAAAAAGGAAGGATTTTGATTATTATTTTTTACTCTAATTACATTTAAATTATAATTTTTCAATATTTCCTTGTTTTCTCTCCCTACTTTATCCACAATAAATGCCTATTTTAGATAAATAAATACCTGAACTTCCGGCCTCTAGTAGTAAGAGCAATGCGTTTTTAGTGCAATAAATAATTTTTACAGTCGTTTTTTTCATTGCCATCTAACTTTTATATATTGTAATCTTCACTTGATATCATTTGACTTGAAAATTAATAGAGAAGGAACGTTCTACGAACGTCATTTAGCCACAGGCAAATTGGTTCTTAAGATTTTTTTTCCTTTTTTACATTTGCATACTACTTCTAATATCAGGGCGTAGTCGCACTCCCCACCGCAGTGCCACCGCTAGAGCGGAGTCTACTCGTTTCCGCCTGCTCGCGAACGTGCGTGGAGAGGGGGGAGTGAGTCTGGGACAATGCAAACCCGGTTCCCGCGGCCGGGTCGTCGCCTCTCGGGTCACTCACCTATCACCGCGAACTCCAAAAGAAAAAACGAACACGACTACTCGCCCGAGCACTTCTGCTTTCTTTTTTTTTTTTCCTTGCATCCGACGTGCATAACACTTTAGCCTACGGAATGCGAGCGCTCCCACGTCTTTAGGGGAGGTTATACATATGGATTAATTATTGACCTTCAAAATTAAAGTCCGTCTTTTTACGAAGTATTTAAACCGTGATGATGATAGCTGATGATGCGTCCTTAAACCTTAAACATCATCATCATCAGCATCAAGGTCATTGGCACCTCTATCAATTTTTTTAAAAGCAGTACGCACTCTATCTGACAGACTAAACCTTTTTTTTTTGTGAGTAAATCTGAAAATAAATGTGTTCAATTATTTTAAGAAAAGGTTTGGCAAAGAGAGCTATATAAAACGTAATAGTAATTTACATTGTAAGGTAAGAAATGAATGTTTCCGTGACTAAACGAGAGAGTTCCAGGACGATGCAGATAGGCCGAATCCAAGCATCCGGTTCAATCATTACATGTCACTTTTGCCGTGTGATGTACAATTTACAACTCAGTTTCACGACAATTTGTACGTGTGATGTGCAAAATTATTTTAACAGAAAAACATGCTACATATTTGTTAGTTCTGGAGTTGGTACGTATTTTGTTTTGTATTTGATATACTTTCAGTACAAGTATGGAAAGTTCTTTGGGTACGTTATGAGGCAGACGCTGAAAAAAGTTGAACTTCCGTGTTCAAATACTGTTAAGTGCGCGTCACTTTCTAGAGAACCTCAAATAAAATAATTTCCATCTCTTTTATGTAAGGAAATACGTACACTAAAGTTCGAAATCATAGCCGACACTTAAGGTTCACGGAAACCCTTAATAAATAAGCGATTGTGTAAAATAAGTTGTCACCTAAAGGTATGAGGGTTCCGTAAGTCCTTCCGTGCACGGAATGTATACCACTTGAGTCGTTCGAAAACACATGGCAACATTTCATTTGCAACATCTGTCGCAGATGCTTGATCCCAGAGACGAAAAAAAAGTTACATACCCATTATTTTTTCGTACAAAGAGCACCCTTCTTTAATTGAGTGTTTTGGAAATCTTTTGAAATTTTACCCTTCCAAATGGACTGTCTTTGTTTTTGATGCTTTGTTTCGTAGTAGGAAAGTATAGTTTAGTGTGTAGTCTCCTTCAAATATTGTAATTTTTTTTTAATTTCTATTTTCAATTTCATAATGAAAATGAATTTTCAGCATGTTACAGGCTCCACACAGTTCATTCATTTTCGGGCATAGGAATTCCATGAAAAAGTTTAGTTCAAAATAATTGTTTAAATTTGGGTTTTATTTGAAAATTAGGTTTAATGATGGTAAATTTGATGAAACAAG